TCATGTTGGTAGGAAGACTTAGACCACAACAACTTGGTCTTCATACCTCCGATTAAACTATGTGTTTTGTTGAAGGTATGAAGAGCAAGATGGTGTGGCCTTTTGTGTGGTCACAGTCTCCTTTCGTTGTTTTAAAAAGTTTTTTGACCTTGCTTTCGCAACTCGGTCATGTTGTAAGGAAGACTTAGAGGAACGCACCTAGTCCGGGGTACATTGTTTGCATCATCATTTCAAAGTCGAATCGTGGACGTGGTATATTCCCAAAGGTTTCGCCGGCATCGTAGTCGGCATTGTCAGTGAATCTCGCCATTCGTAGCACCACACAACAACTCTTCAAAGAAACAAGTGAAGCCCATCCTTTGACCAAACGTGTGCTAAACAGTTGTGGTATATCCCATTCTGCCCTGGGTTATTCGTGTTTCCTGTATCATCCTAACATACCTTCACGATTACAATTTTTACCGTGTTTATTTCAAGGTTGTGTGGTATGCTCCTTCGAGCGACATGACACCTTCACACTCCAACTGTCGTTCTCACTCCCCCTCCCTTTCATCCTTGTGCAGGGAATGTTGATCAGAGTCTGCTTTATTATTATGCAGTCCTCTTTCCTAGTCTTATCTGAGTCTCTCTCTTGCTCCGTAAAATCTGTCTGCTCTCTCCCTCGTTCACCCATTTCACTCGACTCCTGCCACCACATCTGCCCTCACCTGCGTCTGGGCGACTAATTCGAGGCTCCAGCCTCTGAGTGTCATGGTCAACCCTTTGCTGCATGTACCACGTCTCTGGTACAACAGACCTATTGTCAGCCAACTAGCTCCGGTCCCCGCCGAGTGTGAAGGTGTCTTGTCGCTCAAAGGAGCACATGACACTTTCTAACTAAAGACGGTAAAAATGATAATAGTGAATGTATGATAGGAGGATACCGGAAACGCGAATAACCCAGGACAGAATGGGAGATACCACAATTATTTAGCACACGTTTGGTCAAAGGATCGGCTTCACTTGTCTCTTTGATGAGTTGCTGTATGGTGCTTAGGATGGAGATACTCACTAACGATGCCGGCGAAACGTCTGGGAATGTACCACGTCCACGGTTCAACTTTGGAAATGATGATGCATAAAATGGACTGCGGACAAGGTTCGTTGCTTTAAGTCTTCCTACCAAAATGACCATGTCGCGAAAACAAGGTCAAACAACCACTTGGCTTTGTCTGCCAAAATGCAATCTTACCCAGAATAGGGTGAGCTGCACGTTCGACATTGCTTCAACTGGCCTCATCACCATCCCCAACCGTACTCAAACTTGAATCGTGAGAATCCACTCCGCCCCACTCAACTCCACTCCTCTCCATTCCACTTTTATTCGCTTTACTCCATTTCATAACACTTTATTTCACTTCACTTTAATCCATTTCACTCCACTCCAATCCTATTCACTTGACACCACTTCATTTCCCTCCCCGTCCATTTCACTCCACTCCACCTTATTTAATTTCACTTCGCCTCACTCCACTCCAGGGCCGAGTAGTATCTACCTTGGGTGGCTGGGCCCCTATTGAAGGCTCGGCACTCGTTTCGCGGCTGCGCAACATCGTCTGTTGCTGTGGCAGCCACAAGATGGCCGTGTCGACAGTCCCATTCGGAGGGTTAGTCGAGAAGGTCCACTTTTGCTTTTTCTTCAACCCGATGGTAGCCACTCAAGTCAGTGGGGCGAAGTGGTGACGCGTTCGCCCCTTACAGACACACACGAGACGAGTTCGAGTCCCGTTGGAGGCGTTGAGAGTGGGTGGTTGCGCAAAGTCGAGGCTGTTGTCCAGTCCGGGCTGGATGAGAGGACCTGCAAACTGTATTGCAGGAAAGCTTAACTCATCTCAACTCAACTCAACTCAACTCAACTCAACTCAACTCAACTCA